GCTTGAATCTGGGAGGTGGAGGCTGCAGTGAGCCACGATTGCACCACTGCACTCCAACCTGGGCACCAGAGTGAGACTCTGTCTCAAAATAATAATAATAATAACAGCGTGGGATCCAGAGTCCAGCCTTTAATGGCCTTGCTATAAAGGCCTACGCTTTCCAGCAGTTCAAACTGATGCCCAGCAGCAGGCAGTGAGGTCTCCGTCACTGTCACTGGAGGTGGTCAAGCTGAAGCTTCGAGGGGAAGGGGCGTGGAGGCCAGTTCTGAGTTTCATGATTCTGCCTGGCCTCATCCCACTTTTCTCCTGGTGGGTGGCTGGCAGTGGTGTAGGCACCATCCCACCACTGTGCCCTTGCTTCTGTGTATGAAAGTACCGTGCCTGCGTGATAAAGTCCAAATGCCTTAGCAAGGCATTCGTGACCCCTCTGGATCTGGCCCTGGCTCATCAGCCAGGCTCAATTCTTAGCGTCTCTGGCCTCTACCTTCTGGCTATTGTAAATTATTTGACTTTTCTTTCAAGACGGACAGGGTCTTGCTATGTTGCCCAGGCTGGACTCCAACTCCTGGGCTCAAGTGATGCTCCTACCTTGGCCTCCCAAAGTCCTGGGATTACAGGCGCAAGCCACCTTGCCTGGCCTGTTTGACGTTTCCGAAATGTTTCCTGTTCTCTCTCACCTCGAAGTCTTTTGCCCAGCCTGCTGCTTTTTCCCGACATGCCCTTTTTCCTCTTTTCTGCTTTTATTAGTATTCTTAGAATAGGGCGTCTTGCTCTGTCATGCAGGCTGAAGTGCAGTAGCATGATCATAGCTCACTGCAGCCTCGAACTCCTGGGTTCAAGCAATCCTCCTGCCCCAGCCTCCTGAGTAGCTAGGACAACAGGCATGTGTCATATTACCATGATTTAAAAAAAAAATTGTGGCTGGGCATGGTGGTTCATGCTTGTAATCCCAGCACTTTGGGAGGCCGAAGTGGGGGGTTCACAAAGTCAAGAGATGGAGACTATTCTGGCCAACACGGTAAAACCCCATTTCTACCAAAAATACAAAAACTAGCTGGGCATGGTGACATGTGCCTGTAGTCTCAGCTACTCGGGAGGCTGAGGCAGGAGAATCACTTGAACCTGGAAGGTGGAGGTTGCTGCGAGCCAAGATCGAGCCACTGTACTCCATCCTGGGCGATAGAGCAAGACTCCATCTCAAAAAATAATAATTCCAATTTGCATAGGGACCAGGGTCTCACTATGTTGTCCAGGCTGGCCTTGAACTCCTGGGCTCAAGCAGTCCTCTTGCCTTGGCCTCCCAAAGCGCTGGGATTACAGGCATGAGCCACCGTGTCTGGCCATTTCCTGCCAATATCTGACAATCTTTCCTGTCCCCTCCTCCAGAAAGCCTTGCTGCTCAGGTCTGGGTGAGGTACTGTCCTCTGTGCCTTCCTAGCCCACCTTGTGTGGCCCTCTGTAGCACATGGTATCAATAACTGCCTCTTTTCTTTTCTTCTTTTTTTTCAGACAGAGTCTTGCTCTGTCACCCAGGCCAGAGTGCAGTGGCACAATCTTGGCTCACTGCAACCTCCACCTCCCGGATTCAAGCAATTTTCCCTGCCTCAGGAGTAGCTGGGATTACAGGCATCCACCACCACGCCCGGCTAATTTTTGTATTTCAGTGGAGACGGGGTTTTGCCATGTTGGCCAGGCTAGCACTCACGACCTCAGGTGATCCACCCACCTCGATCTCCCAGGGTGCTTGGGATTACAGGCATGAGCCACCGCACCTGACCCCGACATTGCCTCTTAATGCACAGCTGGTGCTTCTTGGAGCTCACTAGTTCTAGGCCCTGTTCTGAGCACTGTGGATGACTTACCTCCTTGAGTCCCCAATACAGGCTCGTTTTACAAATGGAGAAATGGGGGCTCAGAGAGATTCCAGTTACAGAGCGTCTTACTTATGTCCTGTGTTGCATAGTAAATCACTACCACCTGGCAGCTTCAGACAACACACATTGCCTATCTCTGTGTCCGTGGCTCAGTGTCTGGGTATGGCTTAACAGGGTCCTTCCCTCTGGGTGTCACCACGCTGCAGCCAGATATTGTCTAGGCTGTGTTTGCATCTGGAGCTTGGGGTCATCTTCCAAGCGTGTTCAGGTTGTTGGCAGAATTTGGGTCCTTGCTGCTACGGCACTAGGGCCCTCAGCTCCTAGAAACCGCCCCTCCCCTCACAGCATGGCTTTCTGCCCCATGGCCAGCAGGAGGTGCTCTCTCTATTCAGGAAGGCCCAGTCCTTTCCTTCGTGGCTTTCACCTGATTAAGCCAGGCCCACCCAGGATCATCTACCTTTTCATTATTATTATTTTTTGAGACAGAGTTTTGCTCTGTCACCCAGGTTGGAGTGCAGTGGTGTGATCCCGGCTCACTGCAACCTCCACCTCCCAGGTTCAAGCAAGTCTCCTACCTCAGCCTCTCGAATAGCCGGGATTATAGGTGTGTACCACCATGCCCGCCTAATTTTTGTATTTCTACAAAGAGACGGGGTTTCACCATGTTGGCCAGGCTGGTCTGGAACTCCTGACCTCAAGTGATCTGCCCACCTTGGCCTCCCCAAATTCTGGGATTACAGGCATGAACCACTGTGTGCCCGGCCTCATTTCCCTTTTTAATGAACTCACAATCATCTGATTTGGGACTTAATTACATCTGCAAAATCTCTTAACTTTTTCCATAAAAGGTCATCTAATGAGCGTGATGTCCTCTCATCTTCACAGGTCCCCTCCATGTTCTAGGGGAAGGATTCCCTCCATGTTCTAGGGCGTGTACACCAGTGGATGGGAATCTTGGAGGCTATATTAGAATTCTACCTGCCACACACAGCTAGCAAGTGGCAGCTCCAATACTCAAACGCAGCTCTTCTGACTTAGAAGTCTGTGGCTTCAATCCAGCTGAGGCAAAGGCTACACGAACTAAGAAACTGGCAGGTCTTATGAGGACCAAACTGAGTATAGTATGTGAAGTGTCTAGCACAGTGCCTGGCCCACAGTGGGGCTCCATTCTTGCAGTGGCCATTCCCAAAGGCCAGGATGGTGGCTTCGATACTCTGTCTTGATCCTTGGAGCAGCCTTGGGGTGAGTGAATTGCAGCAGATTCTTTGGATGTTTGGTTTGAATTCTGCACCTGGCTGTAAGAGAAAGCCCAATAGAAATGCCTTCTTGGCCAGGTGCAGTGGCTGATGCCTGTAATCCCAGCACTCTGGGAGGCTGAGGTGGACAGATTGCTTAAGCCCAGGATTTTGAAAACACAGTGAGTTATGACTGCACCACTGGACTCCAACTTGGGCAACCGAGTGAGACCTTGTCATTCATTCATGTACACATACGTACATACATACATGGGGTTCTCCTTAAATAGGCAGATAAAAAACATTTATCTCAGCTATCTTCCTAATCCTCAATTAAAAGCGTACACATATAAAAGCTATAAATAAAGCCCAGAGACAGAAGAGGAAATAACAAATCAGTCAACAGGATGGACGCAGTTGCTCATGCCTGTAATCCCAGTACTTTGGGAGGCCAAGGCGGGCGAATCACGAGTCAGGAGATCGAGACCATCCTGGCTAACATGATGAAACCCTGTCCTACTAAAAATACAAAAATTTAGCCAGGCGCGGTGGCGGGCACCTGTAGTCCCAGCTACTCCAGCTACTCAGGAGACTGAGGCAGGAGAATGGGGTGAACCCGGGAGGTGGAGCTTGCAGTGAGCCAAGATAGCACCACAGCACTCCAGCCTGGGCGACAGAGCGAGACTCCATCTCACAAAAAAAAAATCAGTCAACAAGATATTGGAAAATAAAAAGTGAACAGGCTGGGCATGGTGGCTCACCCCTGTAATCCCAGCACTTTGGGAGGCCATGGTGGGCAGACTGAACCCAGGAGTTTGAGACCAGCCTGGGCAACATAGTGAGACCCTACCGCTACAAAAAAAAACACACAAAAAACAACTTTTCTCACACTCCTCCCACACGCCCTGCCAGAACATAAAATCAACTTACCTTTCTTTTTTT